TAGTAACCCGCCAACCCAACCCAACCCGCCCTAACCCGCAAGGGTTGGGTTGGGTTGGGTTATACTTTTGAATGGGTTGGGTTGGGTTGAGATTTTTCAAACCGCCGTAATTGGGTTGGGTTGAAAAAACGTCATAAACCGCCCAACCCAACCCGTGTTCACCCCTAATTATCAAGGACAAAACAGACGGGTCCCATGCAATAATAAGACGAGTGCCTTGATCACACATTAACCCATTTGTGATCCAACTCCAATTACCAAACACTCTACCACACATTTCCCCCCATATGACTATGTACAACTTTAGACTCAATGATGCAACATAAAGAAAGACCCTTTACATGAATAAGATCACGTACCTCTTTTTGCTTTATTAGGGCATTTAAACCCCTAATATTCCAAGCGGTGAACTTTATCATTGAGAAGTTGAAGTGAGTATCTCCCCTCTACTTTGTTCCATAGAATGCCCCTCAGTATCAATTATCTCCATATCATCATCATCATCACTAGAGTCGACAGAGTGTAATGAGGAAAACCGATTACTAATAGACATGGAATTTACAGTGCCTCGTCTCGGTTTAAAAGCATGGACCACCGCTTTGACAAGATCCGGACCCCCCTTGGATAGAATTGTGACATTCGAAAGATCGTCTCTTCCTTTTGGCGTTCTCCCAGCATCCACCGTACAATATTGACTTTCCACATGTTCCACACTTTCCCCAACTAAGACTGTAGAAACTGCAGGCTTAACAACTTCCGTGTCTTTTTTAGATACTCCCGAGACATGCGATACCTCAGTAACCTGCTTTATAGTACCAACACCAACTGCCGTATCAGGAGTTATAGAAACCGCACTTGAAGTAGTTGCGTGATCGCCATTACGAGGTCTTGAATTATTCTTCAGCTTCCAATGTTGTCTTCTAGGTTCTTTAAAACCATCATTATTCGACGACATGAAATTCTCCTTTGGCTTTTTTAATTCCCCTTTCATGCAAGAAGACGTACGATGTCCAAAAGCTTTGCACTTTGAACATTGGGATGGCACCCAATTATACTCCAAAACCACTTTTATCACGTCCTCACCATTACCCGAAAGCCTCAGTATTACAACTTCAATTTGCCTCTGTATCTCACCCACGGCCCAAACATCCACCAAAACTTTAGCAAAATTAGTACGTCCCCAAGCTTTATCATAAGTGCTAGCTGTACAAGCATCCAACGCAAAGGAATTCCAACTACACTTGCAATACGGCTAATACCCTCTCTATTGAACGCAACAAGAGGAATGTTAAAGAACTTAATCCATAACGGACATGAGGTATGCTCGGGTTTATGAAGTCCCTTGGAGGGGTCCCATGTTGAGACAAAAAGCGGCCTCCCTCTAATCATGAGGGGAGACGACTCAACCACTTGATTGCAACCACCATCATCATTAAACCGAAAAAAGAAATAGCCAAGATCATTAACCATAGCATCTATAAGACCAAACTTTCCCCATGCATTTTGAACCGCACGAAGGACAATGGGAAATGGAAGGCGAGGTCCCAAAAAATACCCGTAAAGAACCGACTGGAAAGATTTAGCCATACCTCTCGTAGCTTCCAACAGAAAATGGATCCGCGGTTTCACACTCTTTTCAACCGGAAAATATGTCAGCTCTTGCTTCGAAGTGCCTCCCACTATTTCGGCAAAAGACTTTTGAGGTTGCATGCGCGGCTCACCCATAACTGCAGGAGAGAGGCGTTCCCACACCGAGACCCTTTTATTGGGTCCAACATTATCCCCAACCGCCGTCAAGACCGTCTCCTTTACACCCCCATGAAAAGGAGTTCGATGCAAGTCACAAGAAACCGTCTCACCTAGGATTACATCAGCGAAATCCTGGGATGAAGGGTCGTCCAAAATCACATCCGCAAAATCAATCAACTTTTCCAAACCGCAGACAATACCTAGTTCACTTTATCCCTAGTCAAGAAGCCATGGTGCTGAATCCCTCGTCGAGCTTTCTCAAAAAAATAAACGAAGACCTCATAGGAAGGTGCTGAATATTCTATCAAGTAACTCAACAAAGGAGACGAAGACCACAGAAACACTTGACACAAGAAAAGTAAACTAGATAATGCACACAACCAACCCACAACCAAAACTCGAAGGAAACCAAAAAACAGATCGATAACCAATTGAAATCAATCGACAATGCAAAGAAGACAACTGCAGCACTTACGACTCAAAATCTTAAATAGGTTAACATGCAAAACGACAGCCCACGACAAGAATAAAGAAGAAAACCTAGCGCATGCAAACCCTAGCCRTGAGCAACCAACAAAACGGCCAACCCTAGCCRCGATCACCGTAGGCAAGCCCAACAAAGGGGAGCGAATAAAYGAATAAACCAAATCACTCCACAAGAAAACAGATCGCACAAGGACTAGCGAAAAGGAGAAACCAAAAACGAACCTCAATGATAATGCCGCCAAAACCCTAATCCTTGACCAAACCGGCGTTTGAAAGGGAAACGAATAAAACGATGAATCCAATCGATCCTCAAGAACCAGATCGCACAAGGACTATCAAAGAGGAGAGAACCGAAATYGATCCTCAAAGAAGGAAGCCCTAATGTCGCCAAACCCTAATCCGTGACCAAACCGCCGTTTKAAGCAAAAACGAGAACCAATCGGATAATCACACCAAGCAAGACGAATATGAAGAGAACAAGATAAAACACATCAGCAAAAACCATACGAAATCATCATTTTCATCTTCATCGATCACGCAACCCTAGAGAGAAAAAACTCGCATCAGAAGTTTTTCCAGCCTAGTGGTAAAGGCTTGGGCATGGTGAAGTTCATCAAGATAATAATAAGATGGATCCCAGGAAATGTTATAAGTATGGTGAAGCAGGCCATTTATCCAGAAATTGTCCAACCAACAAAAGGTGTTTTAATTGCAATTCTCCGGATCATATTCGACCGAATTGTCCTTTGTTAAGAACTCCACAGTTAACAATGGGAAGTAATGCGTCGGGTACACGGGGAAGATCTACTGTGAATCGAGGTAGACAAGGAGGGGCATAGGGACGATCTTTTCATATGACAAAGAATGAGGCAGAAGCATCACCAGACGTAGTAACAGGTACTTTTCTTCTGAATTCAATACGTGCTAAAGTGTTATTTGACTCTGGTGCAAACTTTTCGTTTGTATCACCATTGTTTGCTCAAACTGCATGTCTGAATTCTGTGCTGCTTGATGATAAATTAGTAGTTGATACTGCTAATAATCATAAAACTGTTACTAGTGTGTTCAATGATTGTCTTATTGTCATTGAAAACTTTGAACTTCCGATCCGGTTATTTCCTATGCCAATGAAAGAATTCGACATAGTAGTGGGTATGGACTGGTTGGCAAAGTATCAGGCTARCATTGATTGTAATCAGAAGATGATCAKAATTATTTTGCCAGACCATAGAACAGTTGTTATTTATGGTGACCGTCGGGATCATCACATTAATATTCTGTCAGTAATGAAAGCCCGGAAGAATATACGAAAGAAGTGCCAAGGATGCTTGGCATATGTAATTGATTTAAAGAAAGAGAAAGGAAAGGAAGAATTGATCCCGATTGTTAATGAATATCCGGAAGTTTTTCCGGAAGACTTATCTGGATTACCACCAGATAGAGTTATTGAATTCCGAATCGATCTTATACCAGGAGCTGCACCCGTAGCAAAAGTGCCGTATCGTTTAGCTCCATCTGAATTGAATGAATTGGTAACACAGTTGAAAGATTTAACTGATAAAGGATTTATTAGGCCTAGCACTTCACCTTGGGGTGCTCCGGTCTTGTTTGTCAAAAAGAGGGATGGATCTATGCGAATGTGTATAGATTATCGTGAACTGAATAAATTGACAATCAAAAACAAATATC